TTAAACTTGTAAGATTAAAATATATTTTGTAAATTGTAACTAAGTCTATATAATGTCTTCTCATAAGAATGGGCTTTAATTATTTTTTTAAAGTATTGAAAGGGGGATCTTATTGAGAATCTTTAAATTTTATTATATAAATAAAACAGTCAGTATACTATGTTTTTTAAAGGCACTCAGAAGCGCATATAGCTACAGTGTTTAACTCACTCAGCGATCGCTTTAGATTTTTTTACCTTTCCATTAAATGGATTTTTAAATTTTATTTTTTTGCACTCGGGAAATGGACATCCGTCTCATGAGTGTATAGGCATCCCAACAGAGTTTAGAGAGAGACACTTATATTCAGACGGGATGTTTAATGCTTAACGCTTAAAATTTATTGTACGCATGTCTTTAACACGTACCCTTTTTTATTTTTACTTACAAGCAATAGTACTTTTCAATTTATTAATTGACAAATTTAAATGTACTTTTGTTTTTAATTTAAATTATAAATTGATTTTATATTTCATAATATAGTCTTTTTTTAATTTAATTAAATCCAAAGTTGACGGTTAAATCAAGAAGTTTGGAAGAAAATTTTTAAATCCGCATATTTTATTTATTTATTTATTTATTTATTTATCAGCAAACCACAGGTATTTTAAAATACATTAAAGTGGTGCATAAAAAACATAAAAATACAAATTAAAGAAAATATGTGAGACAACAACAAAAAAAAATGAAATGAAAAAAAAATATATAAATAGTAAACAAACACTCTAAAAACCACACACGCCAGGGCTCAATGTCTTTATTATTTTACTTTAATTATTAGATTTTAATGAGCTTCTAAATTTTTTCGGATCATTTATTTTAAATGGCTCATTTGGAAGATTATTCCAGTTATTCACCACTCTGTGAAAAAAATTATTTTTTGTTTTATTTGTATATTTTTTTGTCCTAAGAAGTAGAGGCCTGCGAAGAGATCTATTTGATAAATTAAAATATTTTTGGGAATTAAGGGATGTAAAACCTTTTATAATTTTAAAAGCGGTGGAAAGATCGGCAATTTTTCTTCTATCTATTAACTTTTCGAGTTTACAAGTATTTAATCTTTCTTCATATGGGACCTTGATTAAACCACATTTTTTGTAAATATTTTTAGTGAATAGTTTTTGAATTTTTTCAATTTTCTCTATTTGATATTTCATCTGTGGATTCCATACTTCAGTTGCGTATTCTAGTTGGGGTCTTATATATGTCTTATATATATTAACGAGGAGATTTAAATTTCTAGATTTAATGATTCTTATTATTTGGGAGCTTTTTAAATATGCGTTTTTTATGATCATGTTTATATGATTGTTAAATGTTATTTTTGAATCAATTAATATTCCAAGATCACGAATACATTCTGTTTCTTGTACTTTTAATCCATGTATGATATATTCTCTTTTCATGTTATTTTTACCTAGATATAAAGCAAAGCATTTGCTAGGGGATATTTCTAAACCATTTAATTCCGTCCATTTCTCGAGTATTCTTAAAGCTTTATTTAGTTGTTCTCTTTCTATGCCGTTTTTATGAGCTATATATAGTTTTACATCGTCTGCGTATAGTTTTACTCCAACATTTTCGGGGATTTCATTAGGAAGATCATTTATAAAAATAAGGAATAAAAGTGGTCCTAGGACACTTCCTTGAGGTACACCTGAGAATGTTTCATAGTTGTGGGATAATTGGTCACCTATCTTAATCTTGAAATTTCTAGCCGATATGAAGTTTTTAAGAAATGAGTATACTTTTCCACTTATGCCTGCAGTAGTTATCCCGACCCCACCGTCGTGGCTGTCAATAACTGACCCTTTTACTTTTGGGGTAAATTATTGCCAGCTGGACAACGGAAACCTATTAAAGGGGTGTTTTGACCTTTTATCTTGCCGCAATTTGTAATTGTGTTAAATTTTATCCCTTTGAAGTTGCCGACAAAAAAATAACATAATTATTTACAAACTGTTTTTACACGACGGTGATTTCAGGCAACCACGACAGTGATTTTTGTCTAAAAATTTTAAAAGTTTGTAATACAATTTGTAATATAAATTGCTTTTTCCCCCACGACGGTAATTTTCGCGTAAACCTACACCGGGGAATCTTTTTCGCGCAAACTTCAAAAACGATGTGAAACCCTTGTAAATACAAATTGTTTTCCCACTACGGTGATTTTCGCGCAAACCCTCTATAGTAAAAGCAATAGTAAATATAGAAAAATTTTTCGCGCAAAATTTTTTATAGGCATACAGTGTAAACCTTGAGTCAATTAATACAAGTATACTAATTGATATACCTATCTTTTTATCCTTTGATATGCCGAAAACTTTTTAAAAGCATTTAATTATTAATTTTTATTATATTTTAACTAAATGTTTTCCCATCATAAAAGTTTAAATGGTGTGCCACAAAAAATTAATTTATAATAGTAAACTAAATGGTTCCCACAAAATTTCTATTTAAAATAATTTGCGAGTGTGAAGAGTTAAGGAGTTACTATAAATAAACAAAAATTAAAAAAATAATTAAATAAAATATATAAATGAAATGCTAGTGAAAATATATATTTATAAATTAAATTAAAAAAATAAATTATTAAAATTAAAATAATAAAAAATAAATTAAAATAAAATTTTTATGGAAAGAGGGATATTTCTCCTTTCTCGAATAAATCCAAAATGAAAGAGTAGGAATTGTGGATAGTTATCTCTCCACCCAAATTCCATTTTATCCATTTATAGACCAATGCCTTGGAAAAAAGGGCGTGGCTTCTTTGTAAACTTTTTAAATTAAAAATTTTAAAATTTTAAGGTTAAATTAAATTTCCTGTCATTTTCTAAAATCATTCTTAAAATTTTTTCTAAAAATAATGGCAATCAATATCTCTAACAAAAAAGCTCTCTTAAGGCAAATTCTCCCCGAAATAGAATTTAATATTACTGCTAACGGCCTAACAATTTCTGCTTCCGAACGTATTTCTACTCCACGCTTTGTGCCTTTTGACCATGCGGGTCGATGTCGAGAATGTAAAGGATCCGAAGTGGAACTCGACTTTGTTGTCACCAAAGAGGGGGTGACCTGTTATTGCACGCGAATTAAGACACCCACATTCATACCGTTTGACACCATCCACGATCTTCCAGGACATTGCTTTTTTAAGGTATTTATTATTAAAATGAAAAATTATATTTTTTAAAATTATAGATCAAGAACAAGGGTCGAATCTTCAACATTGAACATGGATCTCCACCATGTGCAGCGACTCCTATTATTAAAAATATTCAGCCCGAGATTAAAGAAGTTTTATCACCCATTAAACCACCATCACCTAAGAAGATAAAGCATGAAATTCCCGCGGATGAAGAATTTGAAAATATTCTTCAGGAATTCTTCGACAACATAGGCTGTACCACTACTACTTCTACTACTACAGCCACTGTTCCGATAGAAAAAGAAAAGATTGAAGAAAAAATTACAAAAGAACTAGAAAAAGAAGTTATAGAAAGTCCACCTCATATTGTAAATTTAGATAATATACCGCTTCCTTGATTTGTAAATCCTAATCTTTTTATTTTAAAATCATTTATTTGTATTATTATTACTTATTAATTTTAATGGAATCAATTAATTTTTCTAGTAAAGAATTAAAATTTAAACTTCCATTCGGTCTAATTATTTCTGGACCAAGTTCCAGTGGAAAGAGTACTTTTCTTCTAAGATTTATTACCCAATCATTGGATTTAATCGATCCCCCTCCTAAAAGTATTCTCTATTGTTTTGGTGAAATGAGTAATATTGTCCCCGTTCTTCAAAAATCTGGTGTAGGTGTTTTCGCTGGTGTGCCACCCGAGGATGTAATTAAAAGACTTCCAAAACCTTCTCTGGTTATTTTAGATGATTTATTGCTCTCTATCGATGAAAAATATCTGTCGGAATTATTCACTAAAAAGTCACACCACCAAAATTTTTCTATAGTATTTGTGACACAAAACTTATTTGAAAAGAAAATTAAAGTTGCCCGACAAAATGCACAGTATATAGTTATTATGCGTTCTCCAAACTCTGTTCTTTCCGTCAGAAACATTGGTGCTCAACTTTTCCCCAAGAAGTTAGATTATTTTCTCGATTCCTATAGGCAAGCTACAAATATTCCTTATGGATACCTTTTAATTGATATGCATGCTTCTTCTGATCCAACATTACGTCTTCGTACAAATATTTTTAAAGACGACAGAGAAAAAATAATTTTCATTCCTAAAAATGGGGTCTAAATCTCAGTGCAATATTAGTTCACTTATAATGGATAATAAAGACTTTTTAAATTCATTGGCAAAATCAAGATCGGATAGCAAACGTCATCGAATGCTCAGACAAGCTAACAGTCTGCAACTTCTTGCCATCGCTGAAATATGTTTAAATATTGTAAAAGCACGTTATCAACTAACTACTCGCCAAAGAAACGTCTTTTACCCTATGCTGAATTTGTCCGCCGCATGAGTCGTGCTAGAAGTGAGAAAGGAGCAAGAAAAATTATTTCACAGAAGGGAAGTGGGTTAGGAGGTGTCCTTACAGCTCTTCTTACCCCAATACTTATAGAAATTGGAAGAAAAATTATAAAAAGTGATACCGATACAAATTAACTATTCATTTATATTATCATTATTCATTTTAAAAAGTTTAATAAAAATTAAAAAAAATATGGCAAATAAATTTATTCTTGTCCCAGAGGATATTTATCGCGGTCTTACAACAAGCGATGTAGGTGAACCAAATTTAGATTTTACTCGTCGTGCTTTAGAAAATTCAAAAAGGAGAAAAGAAAGTGATTCCTCTAAAAATGTTCACTATAATCAAGAGTTGAGGCGATATTTACAATTGAGAAATGAACGTGAAAATAGACCAGTAAAAGTTGAATTAGTTAACAATAAATCTAGAGGCACTATTGTACCCAAAAATAATTCACGGCGCGCATCTTACATCTCTGCAAATGATGACATAGATAACGACGACAATTGGATTAGTGATAATTCTTTTTCATATTACCCCCAAGAGCCCCCTAATCACGCATACAATATTGTCCCTTCTCTTTCTTCATCCTCCATTCCTTCAACAACTAAAAGTGATCAAAATATACAATTAGATCCAAGACCTCCTACAACAAATCAAGCATTAGAAAGAAATTTGAAAAATAATGGTAAAAGAATTAAAATAAAAAGAGAAATAAAAAAGAAACGGAAACCAAAGAGAAAAACAAATAAAAAATTTTCTCCACCTGAAGATATTGTAGAGCCAAAATCTGTTATAGAATCACAAAATGCACCATTAAGTCCTTCTCCTCCCATACCTCTAGAAGTATCAAAGAGTGAATTAGACTCGACTGACTCAGATGTGTTTAAACGTAGAAAAAATAGTGATATTAGGCAAGAGAGATTAAAAGAGATTGCGCAAGAAGAGAGAAGAAGAAAAGTATTAGAAAGAAAAAGAGATATTAAAAAATATAAAGTTCCTATAGACCAATCAGCTTTAGCTCAAGCTAGAAAGGATGATGATATCAAAAGGCGTCAAAAACTAAAAAGAAAATTTATTATTCCTGAAGGAACTACCCTTATTCCTATTAAAAGAGTAAGAAGACCTGTTACAAAGAAACAATCAGAAAATGCATCAAAAAGTTGGATTAAAAGATTAGCCGCTGCAAGATTCAAATTAGGAAAAAATAAATGGGCAAAACAAAAACCTACACAAGAGGATATTAATAAATTTAAACCGATACTTTGGTAATTTTTTAAAAATGGCCGACTTTACAAAACTTCTCGACAGACTTTACAATGATCCCAATTCCCCTTCAGCTTATGCGGGTGTAGATAGTTTATGGAGGGAGGCAAAGAAAACGTTTAAACATATACCAAGAAATGTAATCAAACATTATTTGGAGGGGCACCGTACCTATACCCTTATGCGCCAAAAGAGGGTGAACTTTAAAAGAAGTAAAACTATTGCAGCAGGGTTTATGACAGATGTACAAGTGGACTTAGCTGATATGCAGTCTCTTTCTAGGCATAATAAAGGCAATCGATATATACTTTTGGGAATAGATGTCTTATCCAAACGAGTCTTCACTACCCCTTTAAAATCAAAAAAATCAGAAGACATGTTGGAAGCTTTTCGTAATCTTATTACTCAAATGCCTATGAAACCCCACAGGATATTTTCTGACAAAGGGACTGAATTTAAAAATCGGTTACTAAAAGAATATTTTGAAAAAGAAGAAATATCAAAATATGAAGCAACTCATTCTACAGTAAAGGCATCGCTGGCAGAAAGGGCTATTAGAAACTTAAAACAAAGACTTTACCGATATTTCTCTCAAAATCACAAACTTAACTGGACTGATATTTTACCAAAAATTATCGTAGGAATTAATAAATCTTACTGTCGTGTGCATGGAATGCGTCCAATAGATGTGAATTTTAAAAATGCTCAAAAAGTATGGGAGAGAATTTATGGAAATATTTTTTCAACTAGAAATTCCAAGAAACCAAAATTTAAAAAGGACGATTACGTGAGAATTAGTCGGGACAAGGGTCATTTCGAAAAAGGCTATCTACCAAATTGGGGAGATGAAATATTAGAGGTGGAAAAAGTAAAAGATCATGTGAATCCTATATTATATAAATTGCGCGACGATAAAGGGGAAAAATTCAAAGGATCCTTTTATGAAGATGAAATGTCTAGAGTAAGAAAGGATGCAGCAACAGAGTACCGCATAGAAAAAGTTATCCGAAAAAAGAAAAGAGATGATGGAACATATGATATACTTGTTAAATTTATTGGGTACCCAGAAAGAGAATGGATTCACGAATCAGATTTAGTGTAAAAGATAAATCATTTTTTCATATTGTATCATTTTAACAAAATTTAATAAAAATGTCAAATAGCTTTTTCGTATTTTTACCAAGTAATGTCCCAGATTATTCATCAAATAAACCAAATAAATTCCGTGTACATTTACCAAAACCACTTTATTTTAATGGGAATTGGGTGTGTGGATTACACAGTATAAGTTATCCTTACTCATGGCCCTCAACTATTGGAACTTTGGATGAGCAATGGTTAAAAATACACTTCACAGACGATTTAGGACAGAAGCATGTTCTTCGTATACCAATCCCAGGGGCATCGCATACCAACGTTCAAAAATTATGCGATTTTTTAAATTCGACACTCAAACATCAAATTACTGCAATAGACCATGTTTTCGATCCTGATAGCACGTCAAAGGATATAATTGTTTCCCCTCCAAGATTAGAAAAACGAATAAAAAGAAATCTTCTTTCTTCACCACCACCACTACCAAAAGAGAGTCAAGTATTAAATTACTTTTTTCAAAAATATTTTAATTACTTTTTAGTTATCTTCTCCACCAAGAATAGCAGATGCAAAAAAAGAATTAAATATAAGTCAAAAGGTTAATGTTCCTTCCTCCCCTCCAAAATTAGTGGATAAAAATGTTCAAATATTAAATGAAGGAAATAAAAAAATAAAATTGACACAAGACCAACCAAAACAAAAATATGTTGCGCAACCCAATAATGATGGGAAAATAAAATCTAATGAAAATGTCCCATCTCAAAAACCTTTAAAAACAGATGGTCAGAAAGTGGAAATAAAGAATGAGAAAAGTCAAACAAAAGGTGAAAAGGTCATTACTACACCAACCCCTACTAAAATTACAAAAGATAGAAAAGATCCAGAACCAAAATCATTAGAAAAAATAGAAAATGATAGAATTAAGAAAACAATTGTAACACCTGTCATCACTACTCCCTTCTTCTCATTAGGATTAGCAGGAATTGAAGAAGAGGAAAACAATAAAACAAATAAAGAAGAGGAAGAGTTTGAATTTTCCATAGGGAGCGAAACTGTGTCGGATAACAATAATTACAGTGATAGTTCAAAATTTTTATTATGGAGGGGTGGTATACGATTAAGTGGAAATTTGACCCTGCTCAAAAATATTATAGACTCAATTGTTTTTGAATACAACATAGATTTTGCAAGATTTAGACTTTTATTTAATCATGAAAATATTGATCACATTTCTTTGTCACCACAATTAGGATATGTTCTAGGATTTGAAAACCCTCAAAATATTAAAAACAAGGAAGTTGCAAAATATGGATCTGATCTAAGGGGAGGATTTTCTAGTTTTGCTGTATATGCAAATGGTCTTACAGAGAATATGATTATTGGGAATTCACTCAGCTCTCTTCTGCGAGTAGTTTCAGTCTCTGGCGCAACACCAGGAGAATATAACGAAAAGATTTATGATACACCCATATATGCCCGTGTCCTACCTAGAGAGATTAACGAGATAGAGATCGAGTTAAGAACATTGGATAATGGACGATTAGTTCCTTTCGCATACGGAACAGTTTTAATAGTATTGATATTCAAGAAAGTGATAAATTTTTAAAATCCATCCATTTATTGTATTCATTCATTTTTTTTTCATAAATTTAATTTAATAAAAATGGTTCATATTTTATTCGATACTTCTACAGTAGGATATGATGATTTTATTCAATCACCTTTAAATATACAAGAAGGGAGCGGTTTAGAGAATACTTATACTTATTTCAAAGGAGCTTCCCCTTTTCAAAGAGGATATGGATTACAAGGTGGTGCGGGAATAGGCGATGTTCTTCGAGGACTTTGGCGCTTTTTTCTTCCTATTGTTCGTCGTGTGGGGACTACTGTATCAGCTGAAGCTTTAAACACGGGGCAGCGTGTGTTAGAAAGAGTAAACCAGGGAGAGAATATCAAAGATGCTCTGACTAGTGAGGGAAAGAAGGGGATAGACACACTACTTGAGAAGGGAGGCATGCCTAAACAATTTGGAAGTGGCGGTGGTCCGAGAAAAATTATAAAAGATAAAAGAAAGTTTTCCCACCCAAATCATAAAATCATTATTGGAAAAGTTAACAAAAAACGAGTCAGATCAGACGCATTCGGACTTTATTAATTAAATTAAAAAATTACAAAAATGGCATACCACAAAATAGATAAAGATAGTATTAATTCGATTACAAATGCTTTGGACTTTTTTCAAATTCCTCCCACAAATGTGAGCATTTCTTCAGCAAAAGTTTTTGAAATTCTACCAAGTAATCCCCTTACCGATACTCCATACCACTTCAAAATACACTCTAGTCAAAATTATATTGATCTCACAAAATGTTACTTATTTACTGAATTCCGTATAAGAAAAGAAGGGGCAAACGGTACATGGGTAAATCTAAGCGAAAACGACATTGTTGCCCCTATCCAATTAATTGGTCACACATTTGTTAATAATATGAGAATAAGTATAAATGGAAGAGAAGTTTTCAACTCCAATTCGTTAATGGCATACAAGTCTTACCTTTCACACGAATTAAGCTTTTCAACAGCGGCAAAAAATTCCCATCTAAATGTTGCGGGGTATTATGGAGACACGGGATTAAACTTACAGGCAGGAATAGGATTTAATTCGAGGAAAGCACGTTTTGGGACAAGCAATACAGCACAGTTTATGGCAAAGATAGATGCCGACCTTTTCAACCAACCCTTATATTTAATTAACCATTGTGAAATAGATATAGAAATTCTCCCTAATGATTCGCGCTTTGTATTAATTGCCCCACCAACAGCAGCAGGAATTCCTCAAACAAATCGTTACCGTTTCGAAGTAACTAACTGTAAACTATATGTAAAGAAAGTCGATATAATGGATGGGTTAGCGCTCGATATAGCAAAAAAGTTGGATATTAGGCCCGCAAGATATGCCATAAGGAAGACAATGATGAAACCCTTATTTATTAGTCAAGGTCGCTATGAGTTCAATGCAAATTTATTTATGGATCAAATTCCTAGAAGAATTATACTGGGGTTAGTCTCAAATAATGACTACGTGGGAGCTATTGACAGAAGCCCTTTTAATTTTCAATCCTTCAATATAAGAGAAATTAGTATAATTGCAAACGGTCGAAGTTACCCCCAGGCTCCCTATGACTTGGATTTCCCCAATGGAAAGTTCGCGCGAGCTTTTAATGATATGAATGAGGCTATAGGTTTTTCAAATTCTCTGGAAAGCAACGGAATAACTTTTGAGCAATATGCCTACACGCATTGCATCTTTGTATTTAACCTTACAAATAGTGGCGAGGATCAAAGTGGACTTTTTGATTTAATTAAAAATGGTACAACAGCTGTTAATATAAAATTTAGCCGACCAATTCCAGAGGGAGGGGTAATGCTCATAGTAATGGGTGAAGCTGACTCACTTATAATGCTCGATAAGAATAGAACGATTACCAGTGATACAACTATTTGATTTATCATTTCTTTTATTATCATTTCATTCACTCTTTTTTCAAATTGTATTTATTATTACAGAAATAAAAATGTTTTCAAAAAATATTTCTCTTATTATTTTAATATTAAGAATTTTTCTTCCCATATGTGGATTAACAGTTGAAGAAGGGGTTAATATCAAAGAATTACCCGAGTATTCCGAATATTTAAGACAAGTCGCTGAAAGACATATAATTTCAACAACAACTCAGGCTTTGCCAAGGAAATCTGCTATTGGTCCTTTTGCTAACTTCCCCTCTATACAGTTATGCAAGGATGCGCCTTCATCAAGTGAAAATTACTATACCCATGTCTATTGCTGGGTAATGCTCCTCCTCTATGCATTGCTAGTGCTTAGTTTAATTATTTATCAATTACGCTCATTTGTTTGGTTAGGGAATACGATCCCTTCGAGAAAAAATAGAAAAGAAAACAAAGAAATAGAACCTAAAATATTAGATGAACAGTATACAGATTACAAAAATAATGGAATCAAATCCACAAACGAATCAGGTGTTCAAAGGGTGTCTATCGTGTGACCGACTTCCAGACTATACTTCGATACAATACCCCGCAGCATTCATTTTGAACTTGGACCCCCAACATTTAGAAGGATCTCACTGGGTGGCAATATATGCAGAAGGAAAAGAAAGGCCAATTAATTATTTCGATAGTTTAACACTTTTTAATACTCAAAAACCCAAAACTGGATGTATAATTAATAAATTCCTACACCAATTCCCACAAATACTTAGAAATTGTAACCCTTACCAATCCCCTTTAGCCAAAACATGTGCCCACCACTGTATATGTTTTATATTTTTCCTTTCTCAAAATTGTACATTTAATGAATATACTAAAATGTTAAATAATGAACCCTATCCAGATTTATTTGTTAAAAAATTTGTAGATAAAATGATTAAATATTTATGCTCTTCAATTTATTACCATAGGAAATGTTTAGACATATAGTGAAAGGATATGCAGCCGCATCCAAAAGCATTACGATAATTGGTTATTTTTAGGGCGTGGCTTTTAGGTCTAATAGTATAAAAATCGAAAATGAGGATAACATACAACGAAAAAATATTCTCAGGAAAGAAACATCATCATTTAATTTTATTCGACAATTTTTATTTATATATTTTAAAATTTTTTTATTAATAATGAACCGATTTACCCCTATTTATTTCCTTCAAACATTACACAATTTTCCCTCGTATTTTTCCTTTTTCTTCCCTAAATCTTTTAATATATCTATAAAATTTTACATCTATCCATAGGAATAATCTATCCACATGAATAATGTTATCTATCCATAGAATAAGGTCATATTTTTTAATTTTCTATTTACTAAAATTTTTACTAAAATTTCTATCTGTATGAATAAGGTCATATAAATTAATCGATCTGCTATCCGAAATCTTTTGCTATCCGAAATAATTTTTAAGCGTACCAACTATTTTTATCCCGTTCTAAATAATTTCCATCATAATTCAACATTCATTCATCAATTTTGACAAATTTTCCAAATTTTAGAAAAAATCGATAATTCCTAATAAATTCTCTCATTTAAAATTTTCTCATAATAAAAATCCTACCAGCTCTTTCTCCTTTAGCACTCACCTCCATCTTTAGGACCATCCTTTACCCTTTAGAAATCATTTCAATCGAAACTTTTTATCCCGTTCATAAATAATTTCCATCAATTTTCAACATTCATTCATCAATTTTTATAAAATTTTCGGAATTTTAGAAAAAATCAATAATTTTAAGTAACTGTTTATTTTTCTAAATAATTCTCAAGAAAAAATCTTGGTACTCACTCCCTTTTTGCTATATGAAATGATTTCTATGGGATAAAAATTTTTATAAAATAATTTCCTGGTTATAACATTCATTCTTTATTTTCATAAAATTTCCAGAATTTAGAAAAAATCGATAATTTGCAATAAATTCTCTGCTTAAAATTTTCCCAGAATTAAAATCCTGCCAACTATTTCTACTCTAGTATTGACTTCCATCGTTAGTCCCTCCATTCCCCTTTAGAAATCATTTCTTTGTGCAGAAACTTTTTATCCCGTTCATAAATAATTTCCATCATTTTTCAAAATTCATTCATCAATTTTCATAAAATTTCCAAACATAGAAAAAATCAATAATATTATTCTCTTCTTTTTAATTAAATAATATAATTACAGATTTAGAATCATAATTTTAAATATCTCGATTTTCACTTATTATTAATAATGAGTCCTCCACCAACCAAACGTGCAAAGCTTTCATCGGAAAATTCTCGCGCATTTTTTATTGAAAATATTCTTTCTTCAATTATTTCTTCACAAAATTCAATTGATTTACCGCAAATCGGTCAAGGACATCCAGAAAAATACGTCACAAAATTAGAACAACAAGTTATTCACAATAGAAAATTCCGCTACACTAAATGCCACACGAAATTCCAAATTAAGGATGTCCCCGCAGACCCCGAAGGGCTGCTCGCTGGTATATTCCAA